CACTTCATCCTGGAGAGCTAAAAGCATGAATCGAATAATGTGCTAAGAATGCTGAAGAAAACCTTTTTCCCTTTTCCCCAAAGGAACCATTAATCAAGATTCAACAAAGTAGGCATCTTTTTTTCACTAGCAAATCGCTGGAATATATGATAGAGTTTTACAAAAAGTATCTGGCCCATGATTTGTATGGTTTTCCTAAGGAATGCCAAGAGTGCATCGAATTGGCTCTAACTAGCCTTGTGGCTGAAGAAGCGATGACTCAAAAGAATTCTGATCTAGCAATTTTATCCAAATTTCAGCACATCTGTGAAACCAAGGTGCTAGGATTCGTGGTCAAACCATATGTTGACATAGACATTAAGAAGCTTCCTTTCTCTCTAGATGACCTATGATACCTAGTGGACATTTCTATGTATTCTCGGCCATCACATTATTTGGTCTTACTAAAGTAGAGATAGAAAAAAAAGCAATTCAATACTTACTTAGGCACTCGAGATGCTAAAATTGCCTACCAACGTCAAATTCATAAGAAGGTTCTAGCTAAAGCAACTAAAATCATAGTCAAGTTGTCAGACAAGATAGCTATTCTCAATTTGACCGTCGAGAATACAAGTATTAAGCCAACATCATCTTTTATCACAAGTGAAAAGTCTAATTCTGACGAGGATGTTGCATCTAGTAATGAAGAAAGTCTAAATGAGAAAGTCTATGATGCTGCAACAGGGACATCAGTCCTAGACAATATAGAAATCAATATGGCACGTGTTCATCCCCTTGAGTTTCAGTCAAGCACTATCAGTCAAATTTTTTTGAAAGGGATGTTATTGTCGACAATTTGGCTCGCATGAATTTTGTAACAATTGACTCGGTCGAGAAGGTTAGCCAAGAAGAACGACCCAAGATCGCCTTGTCCAAAGTTTTCCCTAAAACGCCCGCCAGCCACTAACCTATTTCTAAACCCTCTATACGCAACCCCATACATAGAAGGCTTTCCAATTTCTAATGTGTTGGTGGATTGAGAGGAATATTGAACATCATGCTAGTCTCGGTCATAAAGATGCTAAAACGGTTAAAGGATGAACTTATACCATTTGGCATTACTATGGGCAGCTTTGTTCCTGCCAGGTCCCAAACTAAAGGCATTTTACCCTTGGAGGTTATGTCATGCCCTAATCCAAGATTAAGTCAAAACCCAGGATTAGAATGTGATTCACACTTTAACTTTAATCTAAACAAATTAAAATGTGAAGATACAATGTTAATGTTGCACCAAATACTACCGATTCAAATATACATAAAATACAAAATCAATATTAAGATCCCTTTAGTTAAATTAAAATGTTAGTAAGTACTACTAACAGCAGGGAATAACACAAACAACATATGAACTGTGCTATGATACCACCTTATCATGTCCTAATCCTTGGTTTCGACTTAATCTTGGATAAGGGCATGATAGGTCACGATCGCAGGGTGGCCACACATGACAACGTTTTTCATTGTGGATTCAAGGATTGAGTATAATTCATGGATTGGAATCTATTCTATTTAAAAGACTAAAAATTAAGCCAAGAATCCAAACCCTTTTTCGGGTTTATAACCTTGCTCTACCCACGCCCAAATATTGCCCTTCATTTCTGAAATCTTTGGCCATAGACATCTGGCCAAAAGGTTTTAAAGAAGTCACTATCTTCTAACCACCAATTCACCAGCATATATACACATGCTCCCTACATACACGCCACTACCCCCTGGACAACGATAATGGTGCCACGCGTCGAGTCCTCATGATGCCTTTTTATCTTCAGCTGTTTCACACACCTCACACTCCAGACGCATCAGTCGTCGAAACTTCCCTCTTTGATAGATGTGCCTTGAAAGCCGAGACACGTTAGCTTTGTGCATAATTGGGTGTTGTGAAGGTGGCTCAGATGCCTTGAAATTCAAAAACATGATGATTAGAGGATTTCTCAAAGATTTTTCTTGATTTTCCTCCACTTATCTTGGCATAAAAACTAGATATTTTCTTTATTCTTTGCACTTTCAAAACTTCTCTAGAAACCATGCGCATTTGCATCCAAGCTTTTAAAGATCTCCTATGAGCTCCAATCTATCAAGGATTCAGTTGAGCACCAAACAGTCAAGCTCTTCCAGATACCTTAATGAACAAAAGTTGAAACACTAAATCCTTGGACCATTGTCAAGAAACTTGCCCCAGAAACCATTACTAAGTTGATGAAGGAGGTGTTGAATATATCATTCTAGCTCAACAATAGTTAGTTAGACAGTTGAGAATGTGGCTATATAAACTGTTGTCTCATAGTTGTAAATATTCATTTTCAATCAATACAATTCCTATTCTCTCTAAACACTCTCTCTCTCTAGAATCTCTCTTGTTTCTCTCTGCCTTCTTCCTCTTTCTCTGTACAAATCCTTCATCTTTGCAATGTAGTTAACAGGAGGACCTACTGGAGCCACTTTTGAAAATGCCGAATGTGCAAAATAGGAAGCTGCCAAACCCCGAGTTGCTTGGCCGTTGGCTCCAACGGCCTGAGCTACTTAGGTAAACCGAATAGAGCCCACTTAGGTGGCAATTGAAAGGGTTTGTGGCTCTTAGACGCCATTACGATCTCAATTGTTGAGATCAACATAGACCGAGAACTGCTGAGATAACTCTCAATTTGTTTTTGTGCTAGGCCACTAATAAGATGGTCCTACCCCTCAGTCTTCGGAGCCTGACCGTGCCATTTGGATACATAGCTCGTTGTTAACATTCCTTATGTAAGAAAAAATAAGCTAAAATGGTTAAGAACATTTATTTGGGTAAATTACTTTTTTTCACCTCAATTTTGGCTCACATAACAAACACATACCTCATCTTTTAAACATTGCAATGTCATACATCAACTTACGAATTCATTGCAATGTTAGACTTCCATTAAAAATCCGTCAAATTGACTGTTATGTAATGACTTGGAAAATGTGTTTTTTCCCTTTTTTTTTTTTAATTTGGTCTTCGATGAAATCCATATCCACTACACATGGTGATAATTGACACGCGTTGGGGAAATATATCTGTGATGGTGATGATGATGGTTGGTGTCACATCCCGGCCCGGGCCACCACTACATCCCGGCCTCGACTCCGTCGTAGCATGATATTGTCCGTTTTGGGCCCTGACCATGCTCTCACGGTTTTGTTTCTGGGAACTCACACCAGAACTTCCCAGTGGGTCACCCATCATCGGATTGCTTTCGGGCGAACTCGCTTAACTTCGGAGTTCTGATGGAACCCGAAACCAGTGAGCTCCCAGAAGGCCTCGTGCTAGGTAGAGATGGGAATATACATATAAGGCTTAGAGGATCCACTCCCTTGGGCGATGTGGGATGTTACAATGGTCTGCTAATTGTAGTAGTGGTGGTCCTGGTATGAACCTAGAAAAAGAGAAAAATGAAGTGAACAAAAAGGAAAGAAAGAGAAAAAGAAAATGGACTAGAATGAACTCCCATTCTTCGTATAATATTATGGAGGATTTCAAAATTTCGAAGTTCTGGTTGAATTTTCAAATGGCCACTTCTAGCAATGATGATATTGTGGTAATTTCTGAAATTTGATTTCTTGAATTTTTGAAATTTAATTTCTTTACTTTTTAAATTTTAAGTTAATTTCTTGAATGTTCTAGATTTTATGGTTTTTTATCTATGTTTTTCGTTCTAGATTTTGTCTTTCTAGGGTTTTTTGTTTTGGTTTTTTGGAAGTCTGGGTTTCTGGGGTTTTTGTGTTTTTTATTTGGTTTTTCTGAGAATTTTATATTGTTTGTCGCAGACTTTTCAAGATCTAGAATTCACGTCCTCCTGCTCGCCCACTGATGAGTCACTTTTATATCATATATATTTTTTTCCTAATCTTAGTTTATTATGGTTATTACTTTGAAAGAATTTTGATACTTTGAAGTATATTTTCTATATAGGACTTTCGACATCCTCTGAGGCAAAACGTGATGAACTGGATGAATTTTGGAACAATTTCTAGTTGGGAGACATTCGTGAGTCGTTTAGCTTGATTGTGTCGAAATATCAGATTTTTCTACTAAGCGGTTATTTTCTGGTGATGGAATAAATGAGCAGTGTGCAGTGTTGGAAAAGTGACATTACGGGCTTGATTGCAGTTTTGGAGCCCAAGATGACCTATTTTGGATTCAGCTTTTTCTGGAGATGTGGCTGCACAGTTGCAGTGTAGATTTTCCTAGCCTAATTGGGTTTTTATTTCTAGTTTAGTTTATTTTTATTTGGTTTCCTAGTCAAACCCTATGACTTTTATTAGGGATAACTAGAATGCTTATGTAATATAAATAAAGTTTTTAGCCGGCCATAAGGAGAGTTCCTTTATGCGCGTTTGGGAGAGAAGAACTTGGTAAGGGTTCTTGAAGAATTTCAGACTTTTACTTTAAGGTTCTTCCGATATTTTTCTTAATAATAATATTTTCTCTAGTTTTTATTATGAGTATGCGTAACTAATTTTTATTGCTAGGGTTAGGCCATAAGCTTTAGCATGAATATGTGATTTTATTAATTTGCTTATGAATGGATGCATGCTTGCTTTGAATTATTAATCACAGGTACAAACTATCTAATTGACTTAGTGATTGGCCACCATTAGGTTAATTAGACAAGTAATTTGATACAACTTCTGTTGGAATATCACCCTGAAATTGAGGAGGGCTTCTTGTGATTAGTAACTGTAAGTTCACTTAAGGCGAACATCATGCTTTTAAGGGTTGCATGGTTTTTCAAAGGGTTTTCAAAAAACTTAATGAGTCTTGCATGTTTATATTTGATCGGAACATCATAAACAGATTGCATGTTATATATACGTTTTCCCTCTAACATCACAAGGAGAATATGCATTAGGAAAACCTAACCTTCAAAGCATGTATGTGAAAATTCAGAAGTAATTGATGGAATTGCATAGGATTGTTGACAGTGACAATGAAGTGAGAATGATCACTCTAAATTTGAATTCGCTTCTCTATAAATTAGAATAGTAAATTCCAATAAAGCGTACAATAATCAAGAAAGGGATCAAAGTACAGCAATGAAGTGAGAATGATCACTCTAAAAACGAGTGGTCGAATTGCTGAGAAGAGCAAATTCAAATTGCAGGTTTTTATTGCTTATTACAGAACTAAAGACTTATTAAAACTACCATTAATTTAGAAATATAGAACCCAATTTCAGGCATTTATATATCCTGGTTAAGGAAGGAAGCAATTTTCATGAGCAAAGCCACAGCATTGTCTCCAACGGGATTGTTCAAATGGAATACATGGTCCTCCTCCTTAGACTCCACAACCTCCACATTTCCTCCCCACTCACTTTTCCTCAATAAATCACTATAATACCAACCTCTTTGCCTCAACGCATCTTGCTCAGCAACACAAACCAGCACTCTCTCTGCCCCTAATTTCGACAGCTTCGGATCCTTTCCCGGGTTTATAAGCAGGTCATCCGCTCCGCTAGTAGTCGGATAAGCGAACCGCCATATAGCCTCAGCCCTTGCCCTATTCTCAACCACATCAGTCTCACCCTCAATTGGTTCTGACCCCCAAAAATAAGGATGCACCAAAATAATACCTTTGAGATTGACACCAACCAAACCCTCATGCCCTAATCTCACAGCCATGTGATGAGCTATGTTAGCCCCAGCACTGTCACCAGCAAAAAACACTCTTTCGAAATCAGCATATGAATTTAGCCACTCTTCAGGCCCTTGCCCTTCAATATGGGATTGAACCCAACCGAGAGCAGCCCATGAATCATCATACCCTAAAGGCAGAGGGTTCTCTGGGGCCTTCCTGTAATCAACAGAGACAGCAACAACATTTGCCTCGGCAACTAGGGTTGTGAGATAGTTGTGGTAGTAGGCACAAAACGGTGACCCCATGCAAAATCCACCCCCGTGATAGTAAATAAGGAGAGGAAGCTTTGTTGAGTTTGTGGTAATTTTGGTTTTGGGGATGTAGAGTCTGGCTGACACGCCGGTTTCGGCAGAAATCACGGCATCTTTACATTCGACGCCTGTTTGTGGATCGAGTGATGTGGGAACAACATCAGTGCCTGAAAGTCTCTCCACTCTACCATCTTTGTATATTTTGAGGAAGGGAGAGAAGTCTTGAGCCACTTCGTTGCTCAAGGCTGAATCCATGGAGGCAGATGAAGACGATGACAAGCTGATGGTGTCGGGTTTTCTGTGTGGGAGAGAAGGGAGAGGGAAGAGAGGGGAAGATAGATTTGTGAATGAAGGTGGGGTTTTTGGTTTTGGCCATAAACACATGGATAGGCCATAACATGTTGCCATCGATCTCTCCTCACCAGCCAACCAGCAAATACAAGAGGTCAGAATAATATCTCTCTAAAATCTAGATTTCTTTCTGCTAGCCAATAAAAATGTGAGTTGTGTAGCTTGGGACATCCACTTGATACATTCACTTCCCTGATATATAGGCGTCTCCCAAACTCAAAACTATCTGTTAATTTAAGATTGCCTAATAAAAACAAAGGAAAAAAAGGTCTCTGCTAAATAACCATTAATAGTTGCAGTCATATTTATAATATGAATGTGATTGTGTAAATCCTAGTGGATCTAGGAATATCTCTTATATTCCTATTAGTAGTTAATTATCTATTAGAGTTGTAATCTTGAAAGGGTAAGGATTCTACCTATCCTACTACTATAACACCAACTCCAACCATGACTTACAACCTAAAATTCCCCTCCCCCCCCTCAAAACCCACTCCAACCCATGACCTAAAATAAACCTAAAACCTAAAACCCAAATGGGGGCGAAATTCCTGTCACATTTTAAGCCACAAAGTAAAATGGGCCCCACATTTTTGCTGAAGAAAAGCAACCCCACGTGGGGGTGTTCCCCCAGCTTTCAATGCAAAAAGTAGTTGTTGGCTACTTTATATCATCAGCCCAATGCAAAAAATAGTCATTGGCTACTTTATATCATCCAAGTTCAATTTTTTTGTTTTTAGTTTTTTATGTGTATATATATTGAATCAAACGGCTTAGATCGAATATAATCAAATCTAACGGTAAAAAAAAGATCTAACGGTCCAAATTTAAATCCAACGGCTAAAATAATTAAAAAAAATTATTTAACTTAAAATTCAACCAAAAACTCTATAAATACCTATGTATTTGTTCAAACATCCACACAAAACTCACTTTTCTCCTACAATTCTTCCAATTTTTCTTTCTACCATTTCTTCTCATTTCCAAAATTTTTAAGATGGCAAAAGAGCATGTTAGAGGTCGTAATTGGACCTTTGATGAAGATATTGCTTTATGTTTGGCATGAATTTCTGTTAGTGAAGATGGCGCCGTTGGCACCAATCAAAATAGAAAGGATTTGTGGGGTACAATCGTTGATAAGTTCCATGAAAACTGCAACGCCAGTCGAAGGGAAGTTGGTGGTGTTTATGATCGGTGGAAGATTATTAACAAAGCGTGCACTTTGTGGAAGAGAAGCTTGGAGAGAGCCATGGTTGACAAGCCTGGTAGAAGGGGCGCCTAAAAAATTTTGCGTTTCTTTGTTGATATTTTACTTGTCATGTACATAATAGTATTTTGCAACTAATTATTTTTATGTATTTGTTGCATAGGGTGACAAAGCAATGACAATTTACAAGACAAGAACTACACCAACAAATCAAGCTTTTAAGTTGCATCATGCTTGGAACATTCTCAAGAATTGTCCGAGGTGGGGAACCGATGCGAATCAACAATGTGGAAGATTATTTCATAATGAAGCCCCACCCCCAAATGATGTCAATGAGGGTGTGAATTTTGCCGACAATGAAGGTATCGACCAAATGAGCCCAACTTCTTCTTTGCCAAGGCCCTCGGGTAGAGATAAGCAAAAGGAAGCAAAGAGAAAAGGGAAGTCCCAAGATACGATACGTGCACAATTTGCTAGCGAAATGGCAAGAATCAAAGAAAACCAGTGTCGTTGGCAAGAAGAATCGGCCCAAATATTTTTGGCCATGAAGCAAGAAGGGGATAGGGAGCAAGAAAGCTACAAAACTAATTTGATAATAGAGGACCTCGACAAATACACTCCAGAGAGGAAGAGATACTTACGTGGTAAGCAAAAGAAATTTTACGAAGGAGCCACAAGGAGTATATTTCAAGATGATGATTCATCTCAAGACTATCACCCAAGTCCACCACCAAGTCAAGATGATGGATATCATTATTAGGTTTATGTAGTCTATAAGTTTTCGATTGTATTAAGTTTATGTGGTTTATTAATTGTCTTTTTTTTTTTTAAGTTTATGTGGTTTATCATGATTTTCATGTATTGATTTAGTGATTTTTCAAACTTTATTGGAATTTAAATATTTTTAGGTTAAAATGTTCATAAAATTAATTTAGGATAGTCTACATAATTTTTTTTTAAAAGTTAATTTAAAAAAAAATTAGCCTTAATTCATTTTTTGATAATCTGGGGCTAAAATTTTGGGCCAAAAGGGTTGGAGTAGAAAAGTTGTTTCTAGGCTAAAACCTAAATTTTCTGGGCTAAATATTTTTAGGTTTTAGGTCAGGGTTAGAGATGGTCTAAATAAGGGCACAATGGGGTGATACAACACACACCTCACAATTAAATCTCTCTTTTCTCTCTTATTGCCGCCGACCTCCCCCTCTCTATTCCCCTAGAATAGTTTAGTCAAATAGACCTACAATACATTATCAGCATGCTCTTGCCAGAAGCTAAGGAACTGAAAGGTCATAGGAGGAGGCTCTCTTCTACAAAATTCAAAGGTTTTTATTTCTTTTCTGCTAATCAGGTACGCTTAAAATAAAGTAAGACATTTGAAACGTCCAAAAGCATGAAAACATTCCCCATGATGCATGAACCCCCTATATTTATATTTTCCTTCCGATATATATATATATATATATATATATATATATATATATATATTGTATATGTTTTATATATTTGTCAATATATATACGTTTATGGCATTACGCAATTGTTTCATAAATTAGAAGCAATTTGGGTTTCTTAAACCTTAAAGAAGTTAAAAAAAAAATGGTATTGGGAATGATGTAGCACAACCGTGGTACCACCACCGTGGCAGTTCTGGACCACCGCTGGCCTGAAGCCCATTCGCAAGGAGCATATCATGACATGGTGTCGTTTTGACACCCTTGGACCACATGGCAGCAACCTCTGGGCTTTATTGCGCAGACCCATACACCCCAGGCCTTTGGCCTAATAAGTTTTATGGGCTTGAAGTCCCTTAGCCCAACCAAGAAAGCTTGTAGCCTTCTTGGTCTATTGTCCCGCGAGTCCCTGGCCCGATTCAACAGCCCAATGCTACTGGGCTTCCTTTTTCCCCATGATTAGACTGCTTGCAGTAGCCCGTAGCCAACTGGGCTTTGCCCCAACCTTCAGCCCACTTGCCTGCAGCCTTTGCTGCTATGCTTGGCTTTCCTAGACCCAACCCACGGCCAAATTTTGCTGGGTCTGCCTCGTGTCCACCTATTCAACCCAAATGCTAGCAGCCTTGTCTGCTAGGCTCCCCAACCACACGGCCCGAGGCCTGCAGCCCTTCCGTGACCCGTTTGTCATTATTTTGCTTCCACAATCGACACTGATCTATTGAATTAATTAAAAGTGATATGCAGTCCATTAATCTGATAATTAATTCAAAATTATTGACATGAATATCACTTTTGGACATTAACGATCCAATAATTTATTTGTATACTTTGAACTGTGGACATCTTTTCGTAGTCCCGAAATTCTCACACTTGAGTTCCTAAAGCAACTTAAATCAACTACACTTCAATCAGTATATTACATTCTGTATTCTTCCAGGAATCTCTCCTTTATGAACTAATCGTTCATAGAACTAAATTGAACCTGTAGTTTCATATTTAGTGTCTTTGAAACCTGAAGTTTTCACTCAAAACTTACCACATGAAACCTGTAGCTTTCATGTTTAAATTAAATCAATACATGTCTATAGAACCTGAATGTTCTATAATGTATGTCTATGGATTACCATATGACTAACTACGTTTTGTTGTACCCTCTGTCTTAGGGGCATGTCGAAGTTAAACAAGCTTGATTTCACCACTCTGAAAGTATTTGGAAGAAACTACATGAAGTGGGTTCAAGACATGAAACTCCATCTTACTGTAAAGGGTATTAGAGCCACTAATGAGGCACTTGCCGACGAGAAACCCGTCGATGAAGCTCAGAAAGCTATCGCCATGATCTTCATTTGAAAACACATCCATGATGCACTGCAGACTGAGTACCTCGCTGAGGAGGACCCACGCACCCTCTGGCTTGTTCTAACCAATCGTTTTGATTACCAGAAAGACAAGACACGACTGGTAACATTTATGCCTCCAAGACTTTAAGTCTCTACAGTTTGTAGAATCCGATCACCGCTTAAGTTTTGTAAAAAGGACTTAACCGAATAGGATCTCCTAGAGAATACCTATTCGACCTTCAATGTCACCAATATTATCCTGCAACAACAATATAGGGCACAAAAGTTCACAAAATTTTTGGATTTGATCTCTGTTTGACTTCTCGCTGAAAAGCAAAACCAGCTTTTGATGCCCACTGGATCAAATGCTAGGCCTGAAGTGGATGGGACCAATTCTAGCAGCCATAAACGATGAAAAAATTGTCGTAGCCATGGTAATGGGCCCCACCATGGGCCCAAGGTCAACAGAGCTAAGGCCCACCCAAGGGAGGAAATTTGACCCAAAATCGCCAACCCTTTGCCCCAAAGGCCCCAAAATTCAAGAACAAGGGAAAAACTACCGTTCAATTCGCTTCCACTGAAATGGACATGTGCTACCGCTGTGAATCAAAGGATTATTGGTCACATGTATGCAGAGCTACCCCCGAGGCCATTGCCAAGTATCATTCCCGTCATGTGTCTAACTTTGTACGTGTGGAACATCCCGAAGATGCTACTGTATCCATGGAGATATTAGATTTTTAAGAGGCATCAGCTCTTATGGACGAATAATTTTTATTCTTCTAGACATGTTTTAGGGTGTTTTACCCTTAGTGGCCGAACCCCCCCCCCCTAATTTTTTAGGTTTATGGTTTAATTTTGGACAAGTTTTCTAAGTATTTGGAATAATTTGTTTGGTTTTCGTTTGTTTTGAATTATGGATTGTTATTTTATGGATATTATTTCTCGAATTGATTAGTTGAATGAATGAAATTATATTTATGCATGTGACCAATTCAATCAATTTATTTCTAGGTATGTCTAGTGGGGTAGTTAATTGTTTGGCTGATAGTGCTACCACGCACACCATATTGCATGAGCGACATTATTTTACTAACTTCGTACTTAAGAAAGCACATCTGATGACTCTCTCAGGCTCATCCAACATGATTGAAGGATACAAAAAGGCCCGTATCATGTT